AACACTGCGACGTGGCGGATGTGACTCGCCACTGACTAAAGTCACTGCCCAAACTACATAATGGCAAGTCGACTAGACTCACATATCAACTCTTCCCGACACTGTTTTAACTACACACGATTGAACCCGATGTATCGTCGTGATACACCTCTGTTTTTAAACCCTGATCATGCCTGTGTTGGTGTGTCTACGCAACTGATAATAAACAATTATTTATTTATTTATTTACTAACTAACATTGCACAGATAGTTGGCAGCAGTTTGATAGCACGTTGTTTATCTACCTGCTTCTCATCATGTCTATAGTGATGCAGATTAAGCTACACTGTGAAGATTTAACGGGGTTACTCGGCTGCATGCATACGTAGGCAACTGCGGCCCGATTTATTAGATCGACTGTAACCAAAAACTGAGATATTCCACAATATTGGAAAACTATATCGCAAGCGTGTTTAATGTCAACTACTGTCTTTCTTACTAGGCCGGTAGTTCCGACTAAGTCAGTTGACGGCAAAGTACCGCAGCGTTCAATATACCCATCGTGCGAGTATCCAGTAATGGCGAAAAAGTTGATTGCCTGAATTGATTTTGTTTCAACCAAGTACCGGGTTTTATATTGACAAACTCATTGTAAATTTAGTAAACAGTTATAAAACAACTGGACACATCTAAACAAAACATAAGTGTAAAAGTGTGGTTAATGACCTGAACAATGAGAACGGCATGTAGGTATACAAGTCAATGAGGTCAATGAGGAGACGTCGAGCAACATCGGCCTGGGTAATCAGCAGTTGTGGTCTTGCATCATATCTCTTGCTCGGAAAGTGGAGGTACTGATGAGGAAAATAGGCGTCGGTATTGATGTTGGCTCATTGGAGGAAGACACTAACCACAATTGCTGTCGATGAAAATCCGACTGAGGTGCTGGCTACCTTGTCGTGTATTCCAGCGGTACAGAATGCCTCCAAAGCAGCCTCTGATGACGTATTGGAAACCTTCCAAAGCGAGACCGAACTTATAGCCCCTGGGCCTAATTAAAGCAATAAGAAGAGGGCTAAGGAAGTCCTTAATGCTCCCTCAAAGCCAGAAGGTACTGAACACATTAAGGTATTGGAAGTGGAACACAAAGCTCCAATTCCCAGCACCCCATTTCCATTGGCGAAGCAATGCGCCGTGTCGACTTCGGCCACACCCGCAAAGTCTGAAAAGACTAGACCGTTGAGGGAGTTGGAGGTAGAACATAAAGCCTCAACCTCAATTACACCAGCTCCACTGGCGAAGAAACACGCCGTGGCACCTGCCAAACCGGTAGAAACTGGGGTGGAATCGAAGACCCGTGGAGTGGATACGCCTCGTCAAGGTGACGCTTACTGACAGCAGCGTCATCTTTCGGAAGGTTACTGAATCCGTGGCAGCTCTTCCTAAAGAACGTATGCTGGAGGACCTCCAGTGGTTCAGGCTCTGCCTCAACAAGATGCTTCCACCTGGTTTCCCCAGGATCACTTTCAAGGAACTAACCAGATTGGGGAACGTCCCTGTAGATACGCCCAATCCACGACCCCGACTACTGCATGTGGTCCTTGCAACTCCGGAGGAACGCAAAGCCATAATGTGCATTCAAGATCAAGGGTAGTAATGTCAGTGTTCAGCCGGACCTCCCACTGGCAGACCGATTGAAGTTAGATGAGGCCATCAAAAGCCTCAAGAGCAGGCGGTCGGCTGGTGAGCAAGAATTTCATCTTGTGGGTTTTCATGTGGTAAGCCGGAAGTCAAATTCTGCCCAACCAGCACCCCTTCTGGCAGCGTATGACCCAGGGCTGGTTGTACTGAGTTCCTTCGGGTAGTGCTTAGTAACGTGCGTAGCCTGCGGAAAAAGTACACGAGGTGGGTCTACTTGTAGACAAGTCCCATCCCGACATGCTTGCTATCACCTAAACGTGGCTGTCCTCACATATCACCGACGGTAAAGTATGTTCGCCTGGCTACGCAACGTTTAGATGTGATCGCTCCGTTGACCGCCAGGGTGGGGACGTCGCTCTTTATCTGAGTTATAAACTTGATGTGTTGAGGACCTGCGTGTTCCAGTCGTCGGGGCAAAGAGTTGAAGCCCTGTCGACTATTGTACGCAAGTCCTCTGCTCAGTTTACAGTTGTAGTGGTATATCGAAGTCTTGGAGGTGCCTACAGGGTGGTGGTTGAATTCATTCCCACTCAGGCTGCCAACAGGTGTTTAAAACTGGATGACTTCCACCTCACTGAAGTCCGCAGGGCTGGTCTATCTTGCAGTTCGGCGGCTGGCACTTCGATTTGAATCTGCTCGAGCTAACATTGCGACTACCTTTGCAGCAGTTCGTGGACCTTCCGACTATGTATATGCGCAACCAAATTTCGTCTACCTTGGAGCTCATTTTCGAGATGTCATATGATTTCGTAAGTGATATTACCTACGGCTGTCCTCTAGGAGCAGGTGACCACGTCTGCATATACTTTCGACGTGCTTTAAGAGTCACCAAGCTACTGCTGAGGCATGTCCAAATATTTGGCGGGCAGACGTTGACGCAATGCGAGACAAAGCTTTGGTTCTGCGTTGCGCGCTCAACGTGGCTGACACCGTTGTGACACCCTGGGAGAAATTTAAGGCATACCTCACCGAGATCTCTGCTCCCCACCTCCCACTCATTAAGAGACGGGTGACACGGGCGTAGCCCCCTTGAATGGATCATACAGGTAAATATTTGCACGGGAATTGCTCTAAGTGCCAGCAAACTTACAAAGCGGTTTCACCCACCAACACCTACGAAAGCTATCCAGCGGTTAGAACTAAATGTAAGCAACATCTTAGAGCTCTTCATCTTCAGTATGAGGAGGAGTTGGCTAACGCAACCCTAACAAATCCAAAGTTCTTTGCACACGTAAAGAGAAGTAGTGGTACAAACTCGTCTATACCGCCTTTAATACGAGCGGACGGGACCCATGGGCATACCTACTAACATAATGCTTGTATACTTAGGGTACAGTATACTGGTGTCTTTTCTCGTGAGGCCTCTCTACTCAGGTTGAGCTGGTCACAAATGTTCCAGAGTATTTTTGCCTAACTTAAATCATCATAACGGAGGCACGAGTCTTCGGTCTATTGCAAGGGCTAAATCCTTCCAAAGCTTCGTTCTTGTTTCTATTCATCCGAAGCTGATGCATGAATTGGCCGTTGAACTAAGTGCCCTCTGACACGCATGCTTACAATAGTACTCGACAGCTGCGTCTTAACTTCGGGACGGAAGAAGACAATCATCTGTCCGATTTTTAAGGGCGGTGACAGATCTCTGCCCGCGAACTGCCGGCCTGTCAGCTTAGCAAATGTAGTAGTTAAGTTGTTTGAAAAATTGGTCGGGGATTCGGTGGAGACTCACCTGGTTAAGTTTAACATTCTCAGTGCGGCACAGCACGGATTCCGTAAGAGATTTTCGTGTCTGACAAACTTACTTGTAGCTCGTGAAAGCTGGGCTGAGGCAGTAGACAACGGCCACGCCATCGACGTGCTTTTCCTTGCCTCTCGAAAGCCCTTGATACTATCCCACATCAATGACTCTCACTGGAGTTGAGATTGTATGGGATATCTGGAGCCGCCCTCAAATGGGTTTCTGCTTTCCTAGAGGGCAGAGAACAGTGTGTACGCGTGGGGCGTAGCCTTTAGCTTAGACAAGCTTTTCTTAGTGGCGTTCCACAGGGCTCAGTTTTAGGGTCGTTGCTTTTCGCAATTTATGTCAATGATCTACCACAGGAGCTTGAACTACTCTCGCAATTGTTTGCTAATGACCAGAAGCTCCGGAACATTGTGGATATCCCTGGTGGCTCTGAGGCACTTCAGAGTGCCTTTGATAGGCTCTGAGCTGGGGCAGCCTTAGGGTTGATGCCTAGAAACCAGGCGAAGTGTTTTGTCCTCCTCATTGCAGGTGCTAGTCCTCCCACGAGATCTGTAGTTGGTGGAAATGAACTCCCTATTGTCACTCAGCAGGTTGATCTATATATCACCCATACCACATAGCCTCACTCTGGGGACAATTGGAGGAAGGCTGCTTGTAGAGGGTTACGTATGATGTGGTTTATTCGCCGCTCCTTCGGTATCATAACGGCCAATATTTTTGTGAAGCTGTTCTCAGCTTTTGCGCGACCCCACTTAGAGTACTGTATCCAGGCCTTTCCACCTTGTCCTTTGAGGGACAAAATGGAACTGGAGAGGGTTTTGCGAGTGGGTACAAGGTTAGGGCAATGAGTACGAGGACAAACGTATCTCGAACGTATGCTTAGCTTTGGTGTATACTCAATGCACTACAACAGAATTAGAGAAGACTAGATCCTCACTTACCATATCTCAACGGTAAAATCGGTCCAGACTTGTCCTGGCTATTTAGTCCCGCCAAGCTGTCTGGTCTCCGAGGTCACCCGTGTTCTGACCGGGCAAGGACGGAAACACGCTTATCGCGTCGAGTTATTGAACGTTCGAACTCGCTTCCGGCGCACGTCGTTAGGGAGTCTACGGTAGAGGGTTTCGAGCGTCAGTTAGATGCGCGGGGGTGGCAGTACCTAACCTCTCCCTTCTCCTAACCGACTTGTATCGTTAACTTTCCCTGCTTTTTAAAATTTCTTCTCACACTTTGGTAGTAGCATTATTTAGCTGACATTCCTGCTCTTGTTTGCTTACCTTACCCTTCACACTTTAACTTCACATAAACCGGCCTGGCAGGGACTGTTGGGCAGGAAACTGTGGGTAGTAATTGGTTGGACAGGGTGGGATATGCTCTTGGTTTTAGGCTTTTTGACATCTCAAGCAGACTTATCAATTCCCGAGCTGACGATACACAAAAGAAGGAACATCCATTGAATTATCCTATCGTTCCGGCCCCAAGTGAACTTGAACTTGCAGTGCAAGCACAATTACTAACTAAGTCTAACAGTTTTAACACAAGTTACTGGATTGCCTTCTCAACTAAATAAATATTGTGTCTTGTATGTGCTGTTGGCAGTCAAGAGCCTTCACAATTTTGGTTCTTCGTTTACCGACCGTTTTCCCATTTTGCAGCTGTCGTGCAAAGCTACTGCTGCTTTGGGATGTCCGGGTGCTCCTCCTGACTTGCATTTAATGGCAGCAACGGATGGAGAGGTTCTGGAGCGTGACAACAGCGGGCCGATGACAGTGCCTCAACCGCAATATGATCCTTATTTTTCTGCAAACGAAAAGATTGTCCAAGATTTGTTGTTTGATGAAAAGCGCTATCACAGCACACCAGGTTATTGCGTCCGTCAGCCCTTAGCTGTCGCCAAGTGGATGAGAAGAGCGCTTCTTAACTGGCTGCGTGATGTAGGTGCCTTTTATTTTGATTCTCAGGTATCTATTCACCGTCAAACCGATGCTGGTGTTCTAGCTCAAAGTGCTCAACTCATCGATCGTTATCTGCACGTCGTTCTCACGGATAGAAGGGAGTATCAACTCGTTGGAGCCACTTGTTATTTTATTTCCAGTAAGCTGAAGGAAAGTGTTCAAGTCCCACTGAATGAAATGGTGAGGTATACGGACTATTCCGTGACTCATGATGACATCCTGGTACAGTATCCCTTCCAGTTGTCATCATTTTGCCCAGGCGAAAGAGTTGACTATTTGCTTATCCCTTATGTGGGATCTGACTTGCATTACTCCTGTCGATTTTATCGCACCGGTGGTCGACTTTCTGGAATTTGTACCCAGTCTGAAACAAATCATTCGCCAGGCAGCCTTGAATGTATACATCAAAGTCTTTCATGGTGAGCACCTTACTTTTTCCTGAACATTTCGGTTACACGTCTACTAACAGCCACTTCGTGTTGGCTAATGTGTGACAATGTTGCGTCCCATTAAAGTGCCCAATGTTTCTCCATCTGATGGTATTGTATATGACCGTGCTAATCGATGTGTAAATTTCGTATTTAGTTTCATTATCGCTAAGAATGCAATGCATTTTGGTTGTCATAGGTTCAACGACGTACTCATCTGTCCATTAGGTAAGACCAGCTTTCCTAACCGGTACATAATTTCCTCTGAGATTCATTGTCGGCCCATACTCTAGAGGTAGCGAGTTTGACGTGATTGTTCATTGTTCATTGAGTTCATTGAGTTGTAGAGAGCAGGAGGGAAATCCCTTGTCAGCCCCATCGATTCCGTATCATACTGGGTTTGATGCTTGTCGTTGCGTTACGACGTTCCTCGAGTGTTCGTCGTAATTGCGGTGAGTCGCAAGATTCAAGCATTCCCAGCGAATGTTTGTCTAGCAGTCGCTTGAAACTTTCCTCTGATGGAACGTCTGCAATTGCTTCCGGCAGGCTGTTCCAGTCATTCACCACTCTAGTGGATAGGGTGACGTCCTTGCGAATTTTGTGTCTTCTTTGCTTAAACAGTTTCCATGTGTGCCCTCGGGTGGAACAGTCAGTGTTGGGCCGGAAGAATTGTTGTAACTCACTTCCAAGTTCCCCTCGGAGGATGCGTCTTGTGTAGATGAGATCACCCTGGCGATGGCGGAGCTCGAGGGAGAACAGATTTAGCTGCTGGAGTCGAATGGGGTATGGGAGATCACGAAGCCCCAGAACAGCTTTCGATGCACGTCTCTGAACTTTTTCCAGCAGAGCGCATCCAAACTTTGAAAGCGGATGGCTAGCTGGTAGGCCATATTCTAAGACTGGACGGACGTACGAAGTGAACAACGGTCGAAAAATCTCAGGAGTCATTCGAGCGAATGATCTTCTTAAGGCACCTACCAGTCTCCTTCCAGTGGCCACCTTTAACGTGTCCTGCGTCGTTCTAAGGTCAGCAGTCACGATAACCCCGAGATCTCTCGTGGGCGGTATTCCCAAGGAGAAACCCACCAATGTGGTATGCACCGTAGGGTTCGGTGCCACCCATTGGGAGAACAGCGCATTTATCTCGGTTTACTGGCAGTTCCCACCTGAATACTGAATACTGTATTTTGGAGCAAGTAGAAAATAATTCTGTACAACTCCATCGGGTAATAATCATTTGTGTGAGGATGCTCGCTTATTTCTTGCGAGCACTAATTTCCGACACAGCATCCGCCGGAGGATGACTTGGCGCCCACAAGCCTCGAACCAGCTATGGACGCAAATCGATCACATTGCTATCAGTTACCGCTGTAGAGGCTGCGTCCAGAACTGTCCCTCGATTTGGAGCATAGGCGTGGACATCGACCATGCACTTGTATATGCTGACCTGCGGATGCGCTTTGGCGGACGCCCGCGACGATGTTTTGAGCGCATTGACACCGGCAGACTGGTGAATCCAGCTGTTCTGAACGCCTATCAAATTACGCTGTCATCCGAGTTGGATAAACGCTCACTGGATGCAATTGAAGCTCACTGGTCTCATATGCAACAGGCCTTACTAGCAGCAGGCAAATCCTCATGTGGTATGTCTAATCGCCAACATGGACATTGGGTCTCTTCACAGTCTTTGGAACTTATCGATGCTCGCCGGCATATTCCGGCTGGAAGCGAACACAAGAGCAAGAGAGCTCCGGGCAAAATTCCGTCCTAGCCTGAAGAGAGACCGCGAATGCTGGTGGTCTCGTCGTGCAACAGAGATGGAAATGGCCGCTGCCCTTGGTAACCATCGTGAGTTATTCCGTCTGATACGGGAAACGGGCAGCAGGAGACCTGGTGTTAGTGAAACTATACGTGACAAGAGTGGACAGCCCATCCACAATTTATCAAAACGCCTGGAACGTTGGGCTGAGCACTTTGAAAGGCAATTTAATCGGTCGGAATTGTTCGATTTCTCGCCGACCAGTGATCGCCCTGCTCCGTGGGCTGTTCCTTTGGATCCACCCTCTCGCTCAGAACTCGAACATGAGATCAAACTGTTGAAGTTAAATAAAGCCGCGGGACCAGATGATCTTCCTCCAGCCCTCTACAAATTCGGGGGACCTGCTCTTGTGGATGATTTACACGAGTTACTAGTGAGACTGTGGGAGCAGGAAACTGTCCCAACCGATTGGAGCCGCTCCATCATAGTCCCAATTTTCAAAGGAGGCTCACGATCGGAATGCGGCAGCCATAGAGGAATCAGTCTGATTCCCACCGCCTCCAACTTGCTTGCCTCTGTCATCCTTCACAGACTGACTGGCACTCGTGAAAGCCATATTCGTGAAGAGCAAGCTGGGTTTCGTCGAGGTCGTGACTGCATTGACCACATCTTCACTTTGCGTCAGTTGTTGGAGCACCATAACATATATTGGCGGCCCACCGTTGTCGTGTTCCTCGATGTCAAACGTGCATTCGGTTCGGTGGATAGACATGCACTTTGGGACTGTCTACTCAGGAAAGGTGTACCTGAGAAATATGTAAATATTATCCGAGCATTATACGCTCGTAGCTCGGGCAGAGTGAGGGCTTACGGCAAGTTGTCGTCGCCCTTTAATATCTCCAGCGGCGTGAGACAAGGATGCCCGCTGTCACCTTTCCTCTTCAACTTCGTTGTTGACGAAGTCATGGAAATCGCGTTTACGGGACACGACTTGGAAGTTGTGGAGCTACTCCCAGGAGAACGACTTCTTGATTTAGAGTATGCTGATGAAATTGCTCTCATCTGTGACAGCTCACAAACGTGCCAAGCGGCACTGGACAGATTAGCACTAGCTGTCCGTCACTTCGGGCTTTGCTTCGCACCCTCGAAGTGCAAAGCGTTTCTCCAAGATTGGTCTGGACCGCCTCCTACGCTGACCCTTGGTGGGGATCAGCTAGAAGTCGTTCAAAAATTCAACTACCTGGGAAGTTGTATCAGCGCCTGTGGGATTGAAGATGAAATCACGAATCGTATAGCAAAAGCTCGGGGCGCTTTTGCTAACCTTCGCCACTTATGGCGCCGGCGCGACATCACTCTCACCCTGAAGAGTAGAGTGTACAATGCAGCCGTACGTTCGACCCTATTGTACGGTTGTGAAACCTGGCCGTTTAAAGCAGCGGACCTGAAGAGGCTAGTTACGTTCGACCACCGGTGCCTTCGTAATTTAACTCACGTTTGGTGGGAACACCGCGTGAGTAACGAGCGTGTTCGACGCCTTGTTTATGGCACAGGAAAAGGAACTGAACCGCTCGGCACCGTTATTTCACGCATCAGGCTGCGATGGCTCGGCCACGTGTTACGCATGCCAGCCCACCGACTTCCGCGACATGCGTTGTTTGCGCCCCGGGTGTGTTGATGGAAGAAAAGGAGGGGTGGCCAAGCGATGACTTGGTCCAGAGGAATGAAGACCCTCACTTCGAAGCTGGCCTCGGTTGGAGCGTCTCGGTTCCCTGGTTGGGGTCCGAAAGACGATGAACACGTTTGGTTGGACACACTTGCTGATATGGCTAGGAGCCGACCTCAGTGGCGTTCGTGCTGTGAGTTTCTTTGTCCCACCCCATCCTTCTTAGCCTCCCCCTCCAACCACGATCTCATTACTTTGCCTTATATAATTTTGCGTAATAATTTTTTTGGGTGCACAGCAGCCGGCTGGTAGCTTACCGGAACGATGCCCATCCGTTACCGGTAGCTCAGCCAGCTTTCACCAGTTGTTTTTTTCTCCTTTTTTCTTTGTATTGAGGCACAGTAGCTGAGGTGTTTCCCACCTCTAGCTAACGTGTATGATGATGATGAATCAAAAGCATTGATGGGCTATTCGTGTAGCTGGTCTAGAGCCCCTTGTAATCTGTCCGCATCCTCAATGCTGGATACTGATCTTGCGGCGCGGGTTCGAATCCGCATAGGGGTGGGCGTCCTCGCGGTCTACTTAGACCGCGCGTGCCTGGTGGTGATCGCACGGCAGTGAATCACCGTTACGGCGTACAGCTGATACACTACACACTGAAATTCATTTCACATGTAACCATAGCTGTTCCATCCATCATCCCTTGTTCATTTCATGCTATTTCGAAATAGTCGACTTATTGCGTACCGCCTGAGTGGGTGCTCAAACATATAATTCAGCATTATAACTTGGAGGATTGGATATTATGGACTTGCATACGTACTGTAGCCTTAGTAAGCGTGTGCTGCTTATCCAGTACTGGAGTTCGCTGTATGAAGGACACCGGCTGACATGTTATTGTTTTATTTGTCACAACTCTATCAGCTGTGGATGTCGAACCTTTGTATCTACCGTTTAATCTTGATCTTGTCTCGATCCAAACAATACTCTTGTGACTTCATACCGCCCTCGTTCTTGGATGTTTGGTATTTGAGACTACATGCGACGAACGTTCTCATTAACACTACTACTAGCTATCAGTCCAATGCGACGAGACTAAACTTTGACGTGATGTCATGGTCTGTGTACCTCAACGACCCATTGAGCTTTGCTGGGTAATGCGTTTCACACCTTCAGAGCCACTCATTCTTGATTGGTCAATGGTTAGGGGCCAAACACGTTCAGTCTCTTGGCCATCCTGCTTGGGTTTGAAGTGAGGGTAGCTCCTGTCACTGTTAAACAGACGCTGTAGCCCAGTGCCAAAACCCCGTTGTCTAACTTTCAGATCTTAGCTGAGAACCATAATCATTCTTCTATCTAGACCTGGACAACCTGACAGTATCTTGCCCACACATTGCATTGCACTCTTCAAACAATGAACGGCGCCTTATCTGCTACATAAAGGCATCAGCAATACGCCTGTACGCAGTACAGACGCTTCGCTGCCGCGCAGCCACCACCGGTCGCTTGTGGGCTAAGGATACTGCGAGGGTCGCCCTGCCCCTAGATAGGCTCGAACCCGATCCCCTC